GAGAGAGGAAGGGAGGGAGGAAACTATGTATAACATGTTTCATTGTTGAATATTTGCTATGTATACATTTTTGTTGCTATGTCAAAACAAACCTTCATATATACCTTCTGACTAAACTTTGAATACTATTCATAGATGCATTACAAATCAAAAAATACATGCTTGTTACATTTATTTACTGTGTGTATATGCATGTGCTCGTGTTCCAGCCAGGGTACCCACGTGGAGGTTGGAGAACAGCTTGCCAGAGTTTGTTCTCTCCTCCCATCGTGTGGGGCCCTGGGATTGAACTCATGCCGTCAGGTTTAGTAATAAGCACCTTTACTGGCTTAGTCATCTTGCCAGTCTATGAATATAATAATTTTATTATGAAAAACAGAACAACGAAAACCCAACCTGCTTTGAGCTCGAGGGTGTTTCGGTTGTTACTGCCGGCAACACTTCAATCAGTTCTCCAGCTGTGCCATTGCTGTCCATTCTACTGCAGAGAGACGGATCCTGTCACTCCGGCATCCCCCTATAGAGACCGTCTTCAAAAAAAGTTAACAAAAGTGCTATGTTATTATTGCATTTGCTCAAGGACGACCAACCAGTCTTCCGACTGCTTCCCAATTGCAACAAGCCTTGCTGGGATCTTCTTCTGGGTGAGAGGACCTCTCTTTCCTCTAAGTTTGAAAAGCATCTGCAGAGCTGGAAGCCAAATCTTCCTAACATGGTGAATGCTTGTGTCTACTGAAAGAAGGACTATGTGAGGAAATACCCAGAGCTCCAGAGTCAAGAGATGTCTTGCCTGGATCAAGTTCCTGATTCCAATCAAGGTTCCCAGCCATCATGAATACTTCATGCAAGGAGCCCTCCCAAGTACGCATGTCCAGTTTCTTTTGGTTACTTCGGTCTTCAGCTAGTGTGAGCTGGCTTCTTGTTCGCAAATCAAAAGGATCACAGAAAATATAAAGTCTCCTTTTTCTCTTACATAGCCAAGTCCATACACATGTAAATATTTCAGTAATAAAACAATCTGTGTAAAAATAACTGGCTGCATGTAGTCTACTCCACACAAAACACATCTTAGTCCCACTCCTGTGATCTTCCCAAGAGTTAGGCAGCCACATCACCAAAGAGCTCCAACCAGAGTCCTGGGATTTCTTTATCTGCGGCTTTTTTACTCTTACTGTAAGATATCTGTGCCCCCTCCTGCCCTCTTAGAGCAAAGCGTGGAAAGAAAATGTTCTGAATGAAATATGAAGACAATCCACTGAGCCTGAGTTCATTACTAAACCCTTGCTCCCAGCTCCATTGGTGGCATCTAGAGCACATGGAAGGTCACAAGTTTGGTTGGTATCATGGGGCAAACTACCATATGTTTTTGGATAGATAAGTCGTTCAAGCATTGCTCAGGGTCTGGTAAGGGAGGCAGTTGAAGATTCTGGTCACATCACTTGCTGCCCTGTTACCCGCCAGAGCTTTGCAAACTGTGGGTGACGAGGTTCTTCAATCTGAACAAAATCAGTTGAGAGTGTTGTCTCTGGCACTTCAGAGTGAGAGCTGTTAGGACCTACATTTCAAGCTGGTAAGTCGTGGAACTTGTCTTTTTGGTTCATTTTTGCTTTTTCCATGTTCATGCACATGTGTTATGTGCACATATATGCATACATTTCTACATGTTTATGTACACACATGTGTGGGAGGATGCAAATGGAGGTCCACAGTTCATGTCAGCAATTGACCTCCATCACTCGTCCACCGTGTTCATCGAAACAGACTCTCACAATCAAACCCAGAGCTCTCCAATGTGGCTAGTCTCTCTAGCTAGCTTGCTCTGGAGAGTCCGTCTCTACCTTCTGAGCCTGGAAGTGCAGGAGGGCTGCCACCTCCACCTGGCATTTACATGGATTCTGGGGACTTGAACTTGGTTCTTCACATTTTTGTGGCAAGGGCTTTTAACCACTGAACCATCTCCACAGCTCCAAAATTTGTCTTCTAATATGCAGAGACATGTGGCCATGTGCACACAAACACACACAGGTAATCTGTACTGGATTGCAATGCCGCAGATCTTCAACACCGAGAGATGTGGCAGAAGACTTCCAGAGGGGCTGCCACAGAGTTGGCTTTCTCTTTGTCCGAATCACTTTCTCCCTAATTCTCACCAGTTCGTTAGCCATTCAGAGGTGGCTAGCCAACTCTCCATTGGCTATAGAGTCTTTTCAGCTTCACTGAGATGCTGAGTCTCTGTTCTAATAACTTGATGCTGTCTTTGTAAGCCACAAAGCAGCCATTGGATCGATAGACAATTCATAAACAAGTCTATGTGGTATGTACTAAAACTCCTCTTCCAGCAGGCTGTGACTGGATCCACCTAGGTCTGTACACTCCGTGATGTACTAACCTCTGTCTCAGCTCCTGCTTTCTGCCCTCAGGAGCTATCTACACAGAAATGCACTGTGTGCTCACATGCGTGCGTGCACACACATGCGTGCGCGCACACATACACACACATATAATATACAAAATTTTAACACACATTTTATGCAAACATGTAATAAATCTTATCTATTTGAAAGAGTGCAATATAAAATTAGCAATGCAGTCTTGCTATAAGTGCAAAATTGGAAATAACACATCATTACCAAGCAGCTCAGCAGGGTGTGGCAGCTCACACCTGTCGTCCCAGCCCTGGAAAGACCGAGGCAGGACGACTGTCACAAGTTTGAGGCTAGTCTAGGCTACACAGTGAGACTCTGCCTCAAAAAACACAAGGGAATAAAAAAACAAAATAAGTACATAATGCTTCTTATTTCATATGACTGGTAGGGTTGATTAATTGATATAGTTCATGTAAAGATCTCAGCACCATATTTGATAGGTAGAAGGACATCAATAAACACTCAACTATATTAGTAATACTTTTAGTAACCTACTGATCATTCTGCCTGAGGCACAATGGAGGTAGGAGTCCTGTAACTAAAAAAAAGAAGGAAAGGAGAAGAGAGGAGAGATAGATACTCTTAAGGAAAAGTCTTGGTTTTCTCAACAGAAAACTAGGTACGTGACAGTTCTTATCTCATAGGACTCTGGTGAGGATTAGGTCTGCTAACCCCCACACAGAGTTCAGCACCACACTTGGTAAGTAGAGTGTGAGCAATAGAGGCTCACAGTTATCAGTGATGTTATTAAGCATTCTGCCCTAGGCACACTGGAGGTAGGAGTCTCCATCCATTCCAGCTCATCCATCATCAAGAGGTGGCCAGTCAATGCTTTCCATCAAAGGTCACAGAGAAAATATCTGCAGCCAATGAGATGTTGGGTCTCTGTTCCCTAACTCAACTTCATCTTGTGTGCCTCCAAATAACCATTGGACAGAAAATTCATAAATGAGTCTGTGTGGCATGTACCAAAACCTTCCAAGTAGCTGTGGCTAGATCCACCTATATCTGTACACTCCAGGGTTTACTGACCTCTGTCCCAGCTCCTGCTTTCTGCTATCAGGAGCTGTTAACACAGAAACGTAAGCACACACACACACTCACACACACACACATATCACACTCACAAGCTTTAAAGACACATTTATGCGAATATATAATATATCTTATCTATTTGAAAGAGTGCAATATAAAATTAGCAATGCAGTCTTGCTATAAGTGCAAAATTGGAAATAACACATCATTACCAAGCAGCTCAGCAGGGTGTGGCAGCTCACACCTGTCGTCCCAGCCCTGGAAAGACCGAGGCAGGACGACTGTCACAAGTTTGAGGCTAGTCTAGGCTACACAGTGAGACTCTGCCTCAAAAAACACAAGGGAATAAAAAATAAAGGTACATAATGCTTCTTCTTTCATATGATTGGTAGGGTTGATTAATTGATATAGTTCACGTAAATATCTCAGCACCATATTTGATAGGTAGAAGGACATCAATAAACACTCTACTGTATCAGTAATACTTTTAGTAACCTACTGATCATTCTGCCTGAGGCACAATGGAGGTAGGAGTCCTCTGAGAGGAGGAGGGTGGAGAAGAAGAAGGATACTCTTAAGGAACAGTCTTGGTTTTCTCAACAGGAACTAGGTACCTAAGAGTTCTTATCTCATAGGACTCTAACGAGAATTAGATCTGCTAATTCACATGGAGTTCAGCACCACACTTGATAGGTAGATAGTGATCAGGAAATGCTCACAGTTATCAGTGATGTTATTAGTAACCCACTGCACACACAGAGGTAGGAGTCCTGTGGGTGGGGCACTGACCAATCGGAGATCTGAAAGTGCTCCAAACATCGCAGGCTCCGACACATTCACGACACTTAGAAAATGCTACATTCTGCTATCAAAAGCACAAAGTCAACATCAAAAAGTTGTGTCCTAGTTTCTCAGGGCCATCCCACGAGATAATTATTGATCACTAAGATATAAATGAGCTCCGAATAGAGTCTTCCATGGTGTTGAAAATGTTAGTTGTCCGTGATATCAGTGACCAGAGAAACCAACTGCCCACTGAGGCCTTGAAATGTTGATGATGCAGCCAAGAGACTGCCTTTGAATGTTTATTACATGTTGGTTCCTTGGCATTTAAACAGCCATGCCTAGTTAGTGGTTACTGTAGTGGCTGACAGAGGAAACTCTGCCTGAACTCCTTCTCAAATCCAAATGCCCATATGGCTTTTGCTTGAGATAGGAAAATCATTCTTAGTTATTGGAAGGCAAGGGAGTCTGTTTGTTACATTGTAGAATATTTGATATCACCCTTTGCCTCTATCCATAGATGCCAGTTGATAGCGGCACCTAATGCTGGAATAATAATAACAAAAAAATATGTCTATTTATATTGCACAATTGCTCCGAGTAGGGGAAGGGTTGAAACCAGTCTTCTGTGGACAACTACTGGCTTAGAAGTAAACAGCTACTAAGAAATGAAGAAACTGGTCACTTATATAGTTTCTCTCATTTCAGCTTAGTTCCAAAGACCCCAAGAGGTGAGTTCTGGCTAAAGAAAGTCTTTTATACATTGTCGGCAGGTTTCTTTTTCACATGCTTTTTCTGGTGGAGCAGCAGGGTGGCCAGTTTCTTAAAAGTTCTCCCACACTGGGCACACGGATCTGGCCTGTCTCCAGAGTGGATCTTCAAGTGATTGTTCAACGTAGTTTTGTCAGTGAAACCTTTGTCACACTTGGTGCACACGAAAGGCTTCTCCCCAGCATGCAGCCTCTCATGCCTCTGGATGCTTGATTTGCACCTAAACGTTTTCCCACATCCCTTGCACCGATACCTGGAGTTCGCCTCGTGTCTTTTCTGGTGCTTGAGAAGGGCTACTTTGCAATCGAAGACTTTCCCGCATTCCGAGCAGTCCACTCGGGCTCCGGGCACGTGGCTCTGCTTGTGCTCTGCTAAGTAAGTGTTGTTTCGGAAGTGCCGCCCGCACTTGTCACACTTGTAGGGCTTCACCTTCAGGTGGAGCCGCTGGTGCTCCGAAAGATGGGAGTTGACCCTGAAGGATTTCCCACATACCTGGCAGCGGTACGGCTTCTCTCCGGTGTGGATCCTCTTGTGCTCCCTCAGCGACGAGCTGCGGCCGAAGCATTTGTCACACTCTCCGCACTTGTAGGGTCTCTCTCCCGTGTGGATCCGTTGGTGGCGGGTGAGCTTCGTGCTCTGCTTGAAGGTTTTGCCACACTCGTCACATTTGAAGGGTTTCTCCCCCGAGTGGATCCTGCAGTGATTGTTGAGAGTGGAGCTGCTGTTGAAGGCTTTGCCACACTCCTTACACTTGTAGGGTCTCACCCCCGTGTGAATTCGGTAGTGTGTGAGGAAGTACGAGAGGTGCCTGAAAGATTTCCCGCAAGTGTCGCACTGGTGGGGTTTCTCTCCTGTGTGGATTCTCTCGTGCTCCACGAGGTGGAGGGTCTGGTTGAAGGTCTTCCCACATTCCTTGCATTTAAAGTGGTTCTTACCTTGTCGGGCAGGCTTACGCTTGGGCTTGGTGGAGTTGCTGCCGTACTGTGCTTTTCCATGAGAGTCTTTCCCCAAAGTCGACTTTTCAGGAGGGGTGCTCCGTGGTGCTGTAGCTGCTGGCTCTTTACTCGAAGATGTTCCTGGGGTCACAGATCCATGCTCCTTCGTGCCGGGAGTCATTGCTTTGCCTGCTTCTCTTGTCGAAGCTGGGCCACACTTCTCCTTTCTCTGAGATGGCCTGACATCGCTTTTGGAAGGCTTTTCTGCACTCAAACTCTTGGAACCACCCCCTTGATCTGCTTTCTTCTGCTTCTCCCGAGACGTTGTCTTAGAATTGTCTGGCTTCGGGATTTCTGTCTTCGAATTATTCCCTGTCTTCTTTCCTAAAGGAGATTTAAAAGTTTAAATTACAAAAAAGTGTGTGTGTGTGTGTGTGTGTGTGCGCGCGCGCGCACGCGTGCATGCGTGCACCTGTTTTTGATCATGCCTGTAGGTGAGCATGCCTCCGTATGTAAGTGTGCCTGTATGTGAGTATGTGCATGTGAGTGCAGGTGCCTGTGCACTCACAAGAGGGCATCGAATGTCCTGGACCTAGAGTTATAGGTAGTTGTAAGCTACCTGACATGGGTGCTTGGAACTGAATCCTGGTCCTTGCAAGAACAGTAAACATTCTTATCATTGAACCGTATCTCCAGCTCCATGAAGGAGCACAAACAGGTGTTTCATGTCTGGCTTTGTTTTAATGAAAAATGTTTACTAATAATTAGAATATAACATATGCATGAAAGTATAAAATATAAAATATTTGTTTGGCATTCACAAAGTGAATATAATCATGTCTATAGCACCAAGGTTACTCTCAGAAGCAGGTAAGCAATCATTTCTACCCCAGCCCTTTCTCATTTTCCTTCTAGCCATTGTCTTCACATTCTTGGAACTTAAGTAATGGGGGAGGGACGGGGTGTGCCACAGTTTGCATGTGGAAGTGGGAGGCCACCTTGTGGTAATTGGTTCTTTCCTTTCCCATGGGTTCTAGGATCCAGCCAACACAGGTTGTCAAGTTTGGTGGCAAGAACTTACCTACTGAGCCATCTCACTGCCCCAGCCCTGGCTTCTAATATTATAAATTAGTTTTGTCTATTCTTAGATAACTTACAAGCAGCTACAGTATGCTCTCTTTAGTACCTGACCGTTTGCACTTAATGCTATGTGTGAGAGTCACCCACATTGTTTCATTATTTTGTATCATGGTTCTCTCTCACTTGCATTATTTATAATATCTCTTGATGCGAATATTCCGAATATATATTTCACTATTTTCTAACTTATTGGGATCTGGGTAGACCTCAGTCTGAGGCACTCTGGATAGAATTGCACATTTCTATCATGTCTGTAGCTGGGACTATAGTTGTTGGGGTAGCCATGATAGAGATGTACAATTCTTGTAGGCATTGTCTGTTGGTTATTTTCCCCAGACACCTCCACCAGTCAGCACTTCCATCAACAGTCTACGGGAGCTCTTGATGTGCTAGCTCTACAACAGACTTAATGCTGGCGTCCTTCCTGCTTCATCCCTAATAAGATGGCATTTGCAGGTGGGGCCCCTGAGAGGTCATTTATGTCATGAAGATGAACTCCCCCATAAATGGGATTTTTATTTTAAAAAGAGGCCAGAGATCTTTCTGGATTTCTTTACGCTGTGTAAGCACATGAAGAAGAGCCTATGACTCAAAAGAAGGCTCTCCCTACGGTTCTCTAGGGCTTGTATCCCAAACCTGTACTTCCTACATCAGAACTACAAAGGTCAGCTTATGTTCTGTGTATGTCACCAGGACTCTCTTTGTCCTGGCGGCTAACAAAGCCCAAGATGATGCCCCCAGAGCATTCCCACTTCACACTTTAGTCATTTTAATGGAGAGGTGCTAGGGTCACTGAAACTCACAATTGTTCTTATACCTGAGACATAAGGCAGATTCGATAAGGAATGTAAGAAAGTCTGGAAACTACTGTGTTAAGAAAAATAAGGCAGACTCAGGAAGACAAAAATTGCATATTTTCTCTCATATGGAGAGCCTATATTCCAATCGTCCTATACGTGTGTGCACATCTTTAGGGGTGGGTGCGTGTAGGCCATGAATTAGCTCCCACCTCTTTACACCTCCTCTCCTAGGGCGGAGACAGGAGGATTCGGAGAACTCACTGGCTGGCCAGCCCAGCCAGAAGGTGAGCTTCTGGTTCAGTGAAGGACCCTGCCTTAAGAAAATGAGATGGACAGAGATAGAGGGAGGTACCTGATATCTTGCTCTAGCCTACACGTGTACCCACATCCTCATGAGGACACAACACACAAACACACATACACACATACTCTCTCTCTTTCACACATGCCCATATGTACTCAATCACACTCATAGACACTCTCTCACACACACTCACATATACTCACACTGTCACACAAATCACACATTCACACACATGCACTCTTACACACTCACTCAATCACACTCTCACACTCACACACACTCACACACACACTCACACACACACACTCACACACACACTCACACACACTCACACACTCACACACTCTCACACTCACACACACTCACACACACACACTCACACACTCTCACACACACACACTCACACACTCACACACACACACTCACACACTCTCACACACTCACACACACACTCACACACTCTCACACACACTCACACACTCTCACACACACACACTCACACACACACTCACACACTCACATAATCTCACACACTCACACACTCACACACACACTCTCACACACTCACACAGTCACACACACACTCACACACTCTCACACACTCACACACACACACTCACACACACACTCACACACTCACACACACACTCTCACACACTCACACACACACACTCACACACTCACACACACACACTCTCACACACACACTCACACTCTCACACTCACACACACACACTCACATACACACTCACACACACACTCTCACACACTCACACTCACACACTCAAACACACTCACACACTCTCACACACTCACAAACACACTCACACACTCACACACACACACCCTCACACACACACTCTGACACACTCACACACACACTCACTCACACACACACTCACACTCTCACACACACACACACTCACACACTCACACACACACTCTCACACTCACACACTCACACACACTCACACACTCTCACACACTCACACACACACTCACACACTCACACACACACCCTCACACACTCACACACACACTCACACACTCTCACACACTCACACACACACACTCTCACACACACTCACACACTCTCACACACTCACACACTCACATATACTCACACTGTCACAAAAATCACACATTCACACACATGCACTCTTACACACTCACTCAATCACACTCTCACACACACTCACACTCACACACTCTCACACACTCACACACACACTCACATATACTCACACTGTCACAAAAATCACACATTCACACACATGCACTCTTACACACTCACTCAATCACACTCTCACACACACTCACACACACACACTCACTCACACATACACTCACTCACACACACACTCACACACACACTCACACACACACACTCACACATACACACTCACACACACTCACACACACACTCACACACACACTCTCACACACTCACACACTCTCACACACTCACACTCACACACATACACACATTCTCACACACACTCATTCACACACACACACTCACACACACACACACCCTCACACACCCTCACACACACTCACACACACTCACACACACACACTCACACACTCTCACACACACACACTCACACACTCTCACACACATACACTCTCTCACACATATTTACACACTCAAAGATAAAAAGTAAAACGTTCTGGTGGGAGCAATAACCGAGAAAGAGTTCAGAATCATCATTCGAGGGAAAGAGAGCCAGCATGAAAGTCTAGAGTCAGGCTGTCACCTGCAAACCCGAGGGCAGAGGGAAGGAAGAAGTACGGTACCAAACTGGAGAACACCAGCACCTCTGGGGCTAGGAGAAAGACACAGCTTGCCTCAAATGAATCAAGTGTTGTAGTCACCCATCAAGTCCCCAGCATGAAGGAGGACGGGGATGATTGACAGACGTTAGAATGGCCCTGGGACTCACCTGCAGAGGCGTCGCTCCGGCTGACTCCTGCCTCACCTTGCTGGCGTTCTCCAGGAACATCATTCTCTTTGGCGAAAAGGTCAATACCCTGTTCTAATCTGGTGATCAGCCTTGGCTTGAAAATATAATATTCTGTTCCACAGAAAAAGAAGAAAAAAAAACCTGCTGCATGTCTCCTAAGAATCCCTTTCTAAACAAGTGTCTGCCCAGAAAGGAGAGTGCTAAGAGATTTTCACAAAGAACAGCCAACTGGAACAGGGAGACAATTACTTCTTAGCCCTGTCTTGCCCCACCCCCATCACAGCAGCTCAAATTTCTGCTAATCCAGGAGCCCACTACCACATCAGCCAATCAACCCATTCTTGGCCCCACTGACCACCAGGATTGGCTTAACTGAGCTCCTCTGACTTAAGCCAGAGCGGTCAGTGCCTGTGAGGAGTCAGTCGGGAGTGGGAGCCGTAGGCATTCATTCTCAATACATTCCACCCCCTCCCACGCATATGAGTTAAAAACTAAACTTCTAAAGTGGAGGATTGTTGAAAAGCACCAGTCTCCGGATGAGGCCAACAGCACCCAATTTGCAGGGTCTGAATTTCATTCTATGGCAGAGTTCATTCCTAGGAACCACAGCCTCTCGGAATTGCGACCCACAGACCCTTGTGAACCCAGAAGGCACTGCCGATCATCCTTACCCACAGAGATCAGGTTCCCGTAGTTCTCCAGCATCACATCCTTATACAGGTCCTTCTGAGCAGGCTCCAGTAGCTGCCACTCTTTCTGGCTGAAGTACACAGCTACATCTTTGAAGATCACTGGTTCCTATAACACCAAAGTCCCACTACCGCTCATACGAGGCCTCGTCTTCCCCTTGGCCCAGGAGAGGAGATGCAAAGAGGTGGGCGTTTGAGCTGTATTCAAAATTCTACACCGTTGCAGACTGCGAAGATGGCCCTGGTACCTTCTTACTTCGCGCTAGGTCCATACTATTTGTGTGTGTATTTGTGTGTGTGTGTGTGTTTAATGTGTATATGTGTGTGTATGTGGTTTATGTCATGTGTGCAGGTGCTTGTGAAGGCCAGAAGAGGATGCCAGATCCTCCCGAACTGGAGTCCCAGGTCACTGTGAGCTGCCTAATGTAGGTGCTGGGAACCAAGTTCAGGTCCTCTGCAAGAGCAGGAAGTGGCCTTGACTGCTGACCTGTTTTTTGGCTTGCTTCAGTTATTAACTTGACACAACACAGAATCACCCGGACAGAGAGAGTCTCAGTCAGGAATTGTCTAGATCAAGTAGGTCTCTTGGGGGAAGGGTTATCTTAATTGAGTTCATTAAGACGGAAAGACCCACTCTGAATGTGGCTGCATCACTTCATAGTCTCAGCTCTGGGCAGTATAAGAGTAGAGAAATCTAGCTGGGTGCTAAGCAAGCAGGCAGCGTGGGTGCGTTCCTTTTTCTGCTCTTGATTGTGGATGGGATGCTTCTAGTCCCTGCCTTGACTTCTCCACAGTAAGGAATGGACTGGGACCTGGAACTGCAGGCCAAATAACTCCCCCCTTCAGTTGCGCTCTGTCATGGTATTTTATTGCAGCAATGGAAATGAAGCTAGGAGTGTGTGACCAGGCACTGTCTTCCCATTCTGGACCCAGGTTTGGTTAATGGGATATTGGAAAGCTATGACATAAGAAAAAGCTTTTACACTGTTTAAGACTCAGGGGCTGGAGAGATGGATGGCTCAATGATAAGAGTGGGCACCCCTTGCCCACTGAGCTATCTCGCTGGCCCCGTATTTGCTTTTAGAAGGACCAAAGAAAAGGACTTTCATTTCCTACACCCCACTTCTGTTAGTTCAGATTGTGAGCTGAACTGGGGTGAACGCTCCTCAGCACCATACGGAAGAACAAGATCAAAGGTCCCTGGTTCGGCCAGCCCTGAATGCTCACACACAGACTATAACGGAAAGACCGCAGCACTATTCTATTCAAACACTTCACACAGCCACAGCCAAATGTGTCCTTCTAGAGCACGCAGTGCAGAGCAGGGAGAAGGGGCCTGGACACGGCCTCGGGGGCATCCCAGGGTGGCATGGCAGGTGCTAGAAGAACATGCCCAGGAGACCTCTCCACATGTTTGAAAGAGTAGGTGACAGCTGAGGATCCAGTGACGAGGAGGAAGGTAGAGCAGAGCGGAGCAGAGCGAGGTCACTCAGAAGGTCAATACCGAAGGGAAAGAGCTTCAAGAGGAAAGAAGAACACAGAAGGAAGGAGAGAAGGTTAGCATCACCTTAGAGTGAGCACTCTACAGTTACAGGGGCGGAGCGTGTGGAGTCAGCGCCAGGGTTTTGGATTTGAATTCCCCTGACCATCAACGAGCTGGGGGCCCGTGGAGGAGTGACTTCCCATGGCTCTGTTTCCACATCTGTGAGATGGGAAGAGATCAATCTCCAGCGCTGCAAACGATCACCGTTCTTAGGAAACACAGACTGCAGTATTTAGAGGGGGGTGCGATAAGGCATGCACTCTATGCTCAATGGCTTTGGAAACAAGTATGCAGATGGCAGGGCAATAGGAGAAATGTCAGCAAATTCCAGACATTGGGTGACCTTTGTGCAATTCTTATAACTTCCTTGTGAGTCTTAAAGTATTATTTCTGTGTACGTGTATGTGGTGTATGTGTATGTATATGTATCTGTGTAGTATGTCTGTGTGGTGTAAATGTACGGTGGATATGTACATGTGGTGTATATATATGTAGGTATGTATACGTGTGTAGTATATGTGTACATATACACAGTGGTTATGTATGTATAGGTGGATAGTGAATATGTGTATGTGTTGATGTATGTGTCCAATGTGTATGTGTATGTATATGTATAAATGTAGTCTGTGTATGTGTAAGTGTATGTTTCTGTATATGTATAGTATGTGTATTCGTGTATGTATGTGTAGTATGTGAGTATAGGTATGTTTGGGTATGTGTATATATACGTGTATATTGGGTATGTGTATACTGTATATGTGTAGGTATATGTGTAAATGTATGTATATGTGTATGTGTATTGCGTGTATATGTATGTGTATATGTATGTAATCTCTGTGTATGTGGTGTATGTGTATATGTATGTGTATAGTGGGTATGTCTCTATTAATGTATATGTGTATGATGTATATGTGTATATGTATGGTGTGTATATGGGTGTGTATATATATGTGGGTGTGTGAATGTATGTGTATATATATGTGGGCGTATAAATGTATGTATGTATATATGTATGTGTGTACATGTGTGTGTATCTCTGTATGTGCATTGTGTATGTGTGCATGTGCGTGTTGTTGTTGCTAATAGGAAAGACGGTCCAGTCCTCCAGTTGCTGAGCAGAAGCCCATGTGAGCCTCCAGGTACTTCAGACTTGCTGATGGCTGCCCATCTCTCCCCATCTCTCCTCTGGAACTCTCATTTGCCACAGTGCCCCTCCAGGATTCTGTCCCAGCAGTTTGAGCAACCCTGAGGTCAAAGCAAGTCTCTGGACCAGTTCTCACTGGTCAGGACTGAGTCACAATGCCCAGCCTTGAATCAATTGCTATTCCCCGAGTAAGCCTGGAAGTGGGGTGAGGTTCAGATCAGCCTCTCCCTACATCGCCCCGTCCAAGGCCCAGGGAACACTGAAGAAGAGGGAGGCGGAAAGAATGTAAGAGCTGGAGGATGAAGAGGAGGGCTGTGAAATGCTGTCTTCTGGATATGACATGGCCGTTGCACTCATGAACACACAGCAGCTGTGGAGACCTGCACAAGAGTAGGCCCATCAACATCCCATAATTACAGGGGGAGGGGATCGCGAGACCCCACCTTAGGAACTCTCCGTGCTTAATGTTTGCCAGGGGAGGGGAACGTCATTTTCTTCAATGGTGTAACCACTGTTAACTTTCCCATGCTCCAGGAGATAACCCCACACCCATGCTAATACAACCAACCCTAATTACATTCATGGGCCAAAAAAGAAAGGTATGAAAATAGGAGGGGAGGGGGTGCTAGTTGGGACACAGTAGGGATGGGAGGAGCGAGAGAAGACAATGGGTGTGTGTATGGATACAGTCATGATAGAGTATGGGTGTGTGGAACTGTCAAAAAATGATACTAAATTGAAAGCTTGGATAGCGTAACAAAAGTCATTAACATAAAAGAATTTAAAGAAAAATATCAGCTTCATCCAAAGTGGTGGGAAGACAAGGCATGCCCAAAGGGAAATCAGAAGTGCCGCATAAGGAGATGTGGATTCCAGGGCGACTGCGCCAAGGCTGGCTGCCTCAGAAGAACCATTCACGAGCTCCTTCCTTCACCCATGCACACACCCATTGTCCATCACCCTTTCAGCCCAGATGCAGAAAGTGTGTTAAAAAGTCCAGACCAGACTGCTGCTCAGGCCAGGTCAGCTCGCAGAGGCCTCTTTCTTCTGTAAAGAAAAGGGTGAGCCCCCTCTTGAGGGAGAGTCTGTCTGCCAATCTCTAACCATCTCCCCAGGTACCCAGATTCCAGGAGAAGGGCAGGCATCATTCTTACTTCAATAAGCTAGTTTGCAGGACCTCAGGCTGCCAGACTAAGCGATATCAGAGCGTATAATGGGTACGAATCAATGAGGCATGCTCCCTCTTCTCTGACATTCTAGAAGCCCCACATTCCTTCTGAAGAATTCCTTCCTCTACCCCTGCTACCTGAATGAGGGCTCATGCTGTGAAACTTTCTCCCCGACTCCAGACCTATAAGAAGGGACCTCCCTTCCCTTACTTTTGTGTTTGAACTCTTCTCAGAGGCCCTGCCATACTGCTATCTGTCTATCTATGAGTTAATAAACTTTTTACCCCCAAAGGGCAAGGTGCAATAGTCTTACCCTTGAAAATGGACAACCCACACCCCATCAAGACCTTTCCATCTCTGCCACTCATCACATTTGTTTCTGGGCAGAGGGGATGTGTCAGTAACTCATCAGAAGACAAGGGACAAGGTCCCTGCCCTCACAGATGGGGAAGAAGAGACAGGCGATGAACAAGTTAAAATATATGGTATTGCCAGGTGGCAATACCTGCTATAGAGAACATGAAAGATAACTTGGTGGTGAGAGTGCTCAGTTGGTCTTGCGGAGGACCAGAGTTCAGTTCCCAACACTCATGGCTGGCAGCTCACAACCGCCTGCAATTCAAGCTCTAGAGGTCTGATGCCCTCTTCTGGCTTCCAGGACTCTGCATTCATATGCACATATATACACACATACACCTAGTTAAAAATAAAATAAATCTTCAAGAAAGAGAAGGAAGGAAATTAGGATGTTGGTGTCATCCTATCAGGAGCGGAAATTAGGAAAGAGGGGAGCATCTCTTAAAAAAATGCCCTTCCCTGAGGTGGTCCTGGTTGGAATGTACAACTAGGGCAGACCCCCAAGCTGGGCTTAAAGGTGGGGATGCCCTTGCCTTCTGTAGACCAAGCTAGCTTCTGATCAAAGGAAGGAACCCACAGCTTACCTTGTACCAAGTTGGCAGCAACGTGGTTGGAACTCTTCGCTTCTTTTCAGAGAGCTGGCTTAGTGTCTGATCAGGATTCGGTAAGGGTGTGGCTGGTGGAGGAGGAAGGAGGTGTGAGGCTGTTCCGGTTTCTAAGAGTAGGGAAACCCATTCACAATAAACCTTTAATAAGGATACAAACCCATTCAAAATAAACCCTTAATGGGGATGCAAACCCATTCACAATAAACGCTTAATGGGCAAGCATTGACTAACGCTGATGTGTACCGTGCACTGTCCTACATTCCAGACAATTATTTGAGTGTTCAGAGCAATCCTAGCAAAAGTGAACCAAAGCCCTTTGCGGTACCCAGAGTAAGCTACCACACGTGTGAAAAACTATGCATAGATACTATAGATACTATAGATACTAAAAGCATCTATGCATACTTTTCCACACATGCGGATACACATGTAATGGATACACAGATGGATAGTTCACACATGTCATGGATACACAAAAGAATAATTCACACATGTCATAGATGCACACATGGGGTGTTCACATATGTCATGGACACACGAAAGGATAGTTCACACATGTCATGGATACACGAATGGAAATTTCACACCTGTAATGGATACACAAATAGTTGGTTATGAAAGCAGCACTTTCTGGCTACCACAAGAAACCGGAAAGTACTCCCTCTAGGCAAAGAGCCAGGTTGCTGGGGAAGGAGAAGTGATACTACTTTTAATTGTGAAGCCCTCTGCCATTAGACATCGTTGCCAGACAAGCAGGATGTCTTAGCGGGTAAAAGGTATCTGCTTCTAAGCCCGAGGACCTGAGTTTGATCCCTGGGACCCACACAGTAAAAGGACTGCAGTAATTCAGAAAGTCATCCTCTGACCAAAACTGTAATTAAAAATTGTAAGGAAGCTTGTACCTCTTGATTCCAACATTGACCCTGAAAGTGTTCTAACAACACCGAGATCCGTTGAAGAATTACCCAGGGAACAGCCATTCACCTAAATCTCTATGTTGCTTTGGTCATGGTGTTTTACCATAGCACTATACAGACAACCGATATATAACCCCGAGAGAACTCTGAGCACAGATATGTGGGGGTGAGGGAGGGTCTCGTGTCTAAATTCTTGCCATCAGTCAGGCCTAGGAGGTTCACCCTACACACACCCATGTTTTCTGGAACCATTCGTCTCTTACCTTTACTAACTGGGGTTTTAGTGTTCACCTCTGCGTTCTTCTTCCTCTTCATGGCGAGAGAAGGAAGTACTGCATGAAATACAGGTAGAACTACTAGGTGAGGGGATCTTGGTGGCCTCAGGCAGGGGGTGGAAGGTCTTCAGGCTCCATGTCCCTAATAGGAAAGCAATGTCATTAAAGCCTCTGCCCTAGAAGGTTAGTGAGATGTCTGCCGTGCTCAGTAAGGGGAGAGCTGGGGTTGCGGGTCCTGCCTCTTTTTAAAGTTATTTGTTAACCATGTTTTGTTTGTTTGTTTTGGAAGGGTGCCATGGCACTCACGTGGGGTCGGTGTTCTCTTTCCACCATGGGAGGGTCCTGGGGTCACCAGGCTAGGCAGCAAATGTTCTACCCACCAAGCCATCTTCATGGCTCTATTAGGGTCCTTTTTAAGAGAAGGTGGGAAGGAATGGGTGAGATGGCTCAGCAGGTGAAAACTCCTGCCGCCAGGCTTGAGGACATAGGTTTGATACCAGGATACCGGGAGGTGGAGGAGAACTGACTCCTGCAAGGTATACTCTGGCCTCTTGATACACACGCACACACACCACACACACACACACACACACACACACACACCCCTGAAACACACACACACAAAGAGGAAACAAACCAACAAATAAATGTGGAAAAAGAAAATGAGACAGAGAAAGCAATCGGCTCATGCCTGTATTCTTTGCTGTTTGGGAGGCTGAAGTGAGAGGATCCCAAGTTCAAGACCTGCCTAGCTTACGGGCATGAAATCTGCTTATACCAACATGAAATTTCTCATCTCACCTAGCCAACATGAGAGCCAGGAAGTGATAAAAAGGAGAGAGCTCAGGGCTGGAGAGATGGCTTTGCAGTTAAAAGTATTTAGTACTCATGCAGAGGACCTGAATTCAGGGTCCACAACTGCCTGTAACTCCAGCTCCAGAGATCCGATTCTCTCTCCTGGTCTCCACGGGCACTGCACGCATGTGACACACATATGCCCGTGCAGGAACATGTACGTAGACACAAAAAGTAAAGAACTTTAAAAAAAAATTAAAAGCAAGAATTTATGACTGCTGACTGAGACTAGAACTTTATAATTTTCTGAAGTCTCATGAGAAATTTCTTCTTGACCTACACATGCCGAGGCTTGACACGCCTTTCACATGTGCACACGTGTGTAATGGATTCCACCTTCAGCATACTGACATGCTCTGACAGGACACTCTTTCACAACAGCTTCTCCACCAATGAGCTATTGCCAGGTGATCCTTCAGGTCTCCAAACCAACGAGCTTTGTATCCAAGCAGCATTCATCAATCTCTCCCTTTTCTTTTTATCTATGGGGTGTGTGTGTGTGTGTGCGCGTATGTGTGTGCGTGTCTGTGTGTATGTGCGTGTGCTTGTGTGCATGTCTCTGTGTGCGCGCACATGTGTGCGTGTGTGTGCGTGCTTGCGCGCGTGTGTGCGTGTGTGTATGTGTCGCTTGTGTGTGTGCATGTGTGCGTGTGTATCCATGTGCATGCAGTGTGCATTATGTGCTGGATCCCCTGGAGCTGCAGTTTTAGGCATTTGTGATGCTCCTATCTGTGGATACAGGGAAAGGTCCTCCGCGAGTGAAGAAAGTCCTCTTAACTGCGGAGCCATCTCTCAGCCCCCATGACTCCATTTTCTGCTAATAAATCTTCTCCCTTTGTCTCAGCCTTGAATACACCATAATTTACCTCGGCACATCGCGTTCTCAAAGAAATACCATGACTCCTTAGGGATTCTCTCTTGGATTGCTTCCGAGATTGATCACTATGGATGTAAAAGCGATGAGGGAAACTCAAAACTGTAAATCATATCGACTTCTAGGGCCTGGAATACAGCCAGTACTCAGTAAGGACGGCTCTTAGGAAACATCCAGATCCCCATGTTGTTTCAATCCTGTTCTAAAGTGATGAATTTAAATGCCCAGGTCCAAAGCCCAGCTCAGTCTCCAGCCCTCCTATGACTTACGCAGGGACTTTTAGCCCAACACGTTGGGTTAATGGTATCAGGAGAGTAGAAACTTAATCTGAACACAGTGTGTAAAGATGGGGCCGTCACAGGGCGTGACTGGGTTTGGGAGGAGCCCCATCATGCAATCATTTCTATTTTTTTCTGATTCATTTTATGGAGGAAGTGTGTGTGTGTGTGTGTGTGTGTGTGTGTGACTGAGTCTGAGTATAGGGTCAGAGGACAACTTGCAGGAGTTGGTTCACTCCTTTCACCCAGTGGGGCTCAGAGATTAAACTCAGATCCTCAGCACCTTTATGCTCTGAGCCATCTTGCTAACTCATGCAAGGAGAGGGAGAGAGATTGAGTCCACATGCATTCCCACCAGAAGGCAATCTAGCTAAGCTGAGTAACCGTGCTGAGTGCCTGACCACACATACATATGTATATATGCATGTATACATGTATGTATATATATATATATATATATATATATATATATATATATATGCTTTTAGACCCTAAACTTATGAGTTAAATGCTCATTTCTTTATGGGGTAGCCCCTCTTAGGAATGTCTTTTTGCACGGTGTGTGTGTAGGGGGGGGGTGAGCCCATGTATGCTCTCCTGTGTAGTGGGCTATGACGTGGAGGGAGTGTGTGTTCACATTGTATCTGTGTGTATGTGGAACCCCAAGTTTTCAAAAGATGTCAGGCGTCATCCTTGAGTCTTCTCCTCTTTCTATATTGAGTCAGGGACTTTCAGTAAACCCATCCTGTTTTAGTTAGTCAGGCTGACCAGCTTTCTCTGGGGGTTCTGTCTCCTCTTCCCTTGCAGTGGGATTACAGGTAGGCCACCCTATCCCTGCCTGACTTTTGTGTGGATTCAGAGGCTCTGAATCCTAATCCTATGTTTACACAGCAAGTGATTTACCTGCTTCCCTACCCACCCACACACATTGACTTTTCTTTTTCATTAAGACAGAATCTCATGTATCCCGGCTTGGCTTTGAACTAGATAAACAGCCAAGGAGGACTGTGGATTTCTGAGTCTCTTGACTTCACCTCCCTCGAGCTGGGAACACAGGCATACTCCACCATGTCCAGTTGACTCAGTACTAGGGATGAAACCCAAGGCTTCCTGGATGCTGGATGCGGCGAATGCACTCTCCCGACTGAATTACATCCCAGCTCTCTCTGCATGTGACAGTGGTAAAGAAAAAGTATTTATACTCCTCCCTGGACCTTGTGCAAACGACTCTTCTGCCTAGGTTCCACAGACTCTGAAATGGGGGTGTTAGACCATTCCTTTACAGGATGATCAATTAAAGGGCTTGCTGCTAGCTCCCGGTCTCCCCAGGTGCTGCTACAAGCCCGAGAGCACAATGAAGGGTGGGTGCTGGAGCGAGCTGTTTCTGGGGACGAAGGGACGGTGACTCCCAGTTGACCATTCTTTAGCTGTGAGACCTTAAGGGACCAGGTTGGCAGATTCGATAAATAAAAATACTTGGAATGCAGTTAAATTAACTTTCAGATAAGCAAAGAATAATTTTCAATTATAGAAACATTCTCAAATACTACTTGTGGCATGCCTATGCAAAAGAATAGTCGTGTGTGTGTGTGCGTGTATGTGTGGTGTGTTCATGTGGGGGTGCATGTGTATGCATGTTCATGTAGAAGCCTCAGGAACCATCCATTTTGTTTTTTGAACAGGGGTCCCTTACTACAGTCTAGAATCCACTTATTGAGCTAGACTTGCTGGCCGAGGAGTCCCTGGGTCCCTCCTAGCCCCCTTTTTTTTCCAGTGTGGGATTACATACCTGGTGTTTTATGTGGGTAGAGTCCTGGGTCCTCAGACTTGCACGGCAGGGACTTTTCTGACTGTGTCACATCCTAGCCCCAAAGAATTATTTTTTAATACATTTAATAACTAGCTTTTATATATGCATCCCCATATAATACTTGAAAATTATTTTTTAAATTATTTGAAATAAAATGTAAATAGTGCCCCATATTTTAACTGATAATTTGAACACTAGGCTGGTTGCTCGACATTTTTATAGTTTCACTCAAAGACAAAACAAACGAACAAACAAAAAAACAAAAGTAGATTCAGAGGATCAGGGAGATAGCGAAGTGGGTCAAAGTGTTTGCCACACAAGCCTGATAACCTGATTTCGGATTCCCAGAAGGCAGAAAAAAAGGGCTGGCACGGAGTTTCTAGTCTATTTTCCCAGCACTCCGACAGTGAGATGAAAGATACAGTCAAGCAAATTCCAAGAAGCTCACAGGCCAGCTAGCCTAGGATACACAGCGCAGTGGCGAGTTAGACAGTCTCAGAAACAAGATGGAGGGTGAGGAAAACATCTGACTGCCACAGAACATGCACGAACACGAACACACACACACACACACACACACACACGCACGCACGCACGCGCGCGCGCGTGCACACTCACACACACACACCACCACCACTAAACACGTAAATAAATATTTAAATTTATTTGGGCATTCAAAGACGGGGAAGATGGCTTCGTGGTTAAAAGCACCTATTGCTCTTGCAGCAGTCCCGAGTTTGGTTCCCAGCATGCACATCGGGTGGCTTGCAACTGCCAGTAACTCCAGCTATGGGGGGTGAGGGGGATCTGATCCGTGAGCACTTGCGCTCACGCGTGGAGTCAGAGCTCCCCCTCACACACATACTTAAAAAGTAAAAATAAATGTTTTTAAAAACATAAGATCTAATATTTCATGAACTCCAGTAATTAAACAGTGCCCAAGATGGAGTATATGCTTTTTGCTCATTTAGTGCTTGCTATTCAAGCCTCGGGGTGTAGGGCGTGGTAGGGTCTTTCTTCACTCTGGTCTCAGCTTCCCTGCACCATGTCCCTATCGCTGAGGTCTTCAACTGGGCCACACATGACGGTGTTTTTTCCCCAGCGCTCCTTCCCTGTGAGTGCAACCTCTATAAAGAAGCAAATTACCGTTGAAGAAGATCCGAATTTTATGCTTCTGCCTAGAAAAAGCATCACGACTCAGTCCCCAGGCTAGACAGCAGAGG